TGTATATATATATATATATATATATATATATATATATATATGTAAGTGTGTGTGTGTGCGTGTATGTTAGTTTATATTATATATATTAATGTATATATAAAAGTATAATATAATTTAATTTATAGTTTTTATTTTATTCATTGTTTTAATAAACTAGTTTAAATTTAATTAAATATTTTACAATTTTCAATTCAAATGAATGGTAATGAACTTAAAAGTATTTTGAAATGTATTTTAATTAAAATTATATTCTTTTATGAATAATTAAATTAAAAGTATAATTTTTTTATAAATAATTAAATTAAAAATATTTTTTTTGAAATCTTATAATGATAATTTAACAATGTTAAGTTAATATAATAAGAAAATGATAATATAATACTTGAAAGTTTAAGGGATAAAAATTAATTTACTTTATATTTTAAGATATATAGGATAGATAATGTAATACTTATATCTTTCAGGAGAAAGGAATAAAATTTACATTAATAACATTAATTTAAATAAATTAAATTGTATATTTTAACATAAGAGGGGAGGAGAGTGTATTCTATATTCTTTTATTTCTCATCAAGGTAACATAGTTTATTCTATATTTTTTCCACAAAACTTTTCCTAACATTAGTGATACTCTTTTCTTTCTGTTATAAAAAAAGTGAGGAAGAGTTTGATTAATGTTACCAATTATTTACTGAATCAAGAAAAATAACTTAAATTGAGGATTTTTTTTTTTTTTTAATAAAAATGATTAATATAAGTCACATTTAAAATTAGTTCTTATAAAAGGGCCAAATAACATTATTGATATGATAAATAAGAATGGAAAGAATAAATTGTTAGAGATTAAACTAACGTAATGCTAATATAATTATTCATTTGATTTAAGTTGAGTTCATACCTGTCGCTGCATTATCGCCTTTACAGTGGTGTTAAGATCTTGGTGGAAAAGCAAATTTTGACTGGTAGACGACCCCGTCTGAATTCCCTGGAATGATTTTGCATATATGACTCTCTCAGAGAAAAACTTGATATTGGAGCATTTCCGTATATCAACTGTTATCAAAGACGTTAATTCCAGAGTTTGATTGCCCGGGTAGAAGCATACCAAACTTGGTAAAGAACGCAAAACAATGGTGTTGAGTCGCTCAAATTTAATGGCTTCTGAAGTTGCATTGCTCTCTTTAGCCATTATTGCTTTCACTGATTCACATTCCATCACCGTGATCTTCTCAAGGTTCATCAACTTTTCTGCTGCTGAAGATGTAAATAAATACTGCAAGTTGGGACAGTTGGAAATAGACATTTCTTTTAGAAAAGAGAAAGTCGCTGTAGAAGTAGAATGTATTAATGTTGTCAAATCATGACATCTGACAACTTTTAAGACTTGGATATTCTCAAAGATTGTATTTCTCCATGATGAGTCCTTTGACATGATGAACTGGAGCTCAGATACTTGACAAAGTTCCAGTATTTTTAACTGTTCAACCATTCCCTCATCATTTTTGTGGTTTGCAGCAGACAATATCTCGGGATTACAACGACGGCTTGTACTCATTTTCATTAAATTTGGTGTCTTTCGGAGTAATTCAATGAGCCATATAGGCCTCTCATCCTTTAAATATTGGTCTTTCATAAAATCCGGTGACCTAAACCTTAAGCTTGATTCGAAAATTTGTTTCCAATCAAGTCTCAATTCTTTCAAGTTGGAAATGACCTAATATGTCAATGCAAAACATATCGGAAAGAAAGGAGAGTGAATTAGAATAATAAAAGAGAAAAAAATTGTGAGTAAAGATTCTATCATGCTTACCTTTAGATTTGGAGAACTCGTACCTTCACCTTCACTCTCACCCATGAAACGTGTGGTTTGAAATAATTTTAACTTATCACAATTCAACACTGATAAAAATTTTAAGGCGGGGCATTCGAGAGTGAATGTTTGAGGGTAAAAGTAAGCGAGTTGTGGCATGTAAAAAAGATCCAACTCCTCTAGAAGGGGGAACACAAATTGTTCTGTTATGTTTGTTGGAGTGTCTTCTTCCCTTTGAACAATTTGTTGCAATTTATGGCAAGATCTTATTTCAAGTTTTCTAAGCTTCTTAAGATGTTTCGCTTGGGAAGTAGGAAATAAAGTTTGAAGGTTCTCACAATCACTAACAACGACCTCTTCCAGATTTGGAAAGACGGGAAGTCCTTTATTTTTTTCCCAAACATGCCTCAGCCCCGATAGCCTTTGAAAAGTCAATTTCTTCAACCGGGATGGTATTCCCATAATTTGTGTGTCATTCGTATAAAAAATGACCTCTACTTTGTTGTTATCTCGTACTTGCACTTCTTCTAAGTTGTTTAGAAGATGAAGAATAAAAGATGGAATTACATATGGTAAAATCCACTTGTCCAGCTTCAAAGTTCCTAAATTGCGCAACCATTCGTTTTGTATACCAACAGAAATATTACCCACATGGTCTGCTCGTAAATAATAAGGATCCAAAGGAAATTGAGTCTCCACAATGGCGTCAAAAAACTCCTGTAAATATTACAATAAGTACATCATCACATATTTCATATCAATTATTGCTTGCTCTGCGTCATTCTTTCTGCCTATAAACTACGTTACCTTTTCGTTTTAGCATCTTTAAATTTCTATAATCCATATTAATTGATTGTCACTATAATCATTTTTAATTAAAATGTATTATTATTTTCATAAGTTTGTTAAAAATAATTTTAAGATATTTAATTTCCTTTGAATAAAAGAAAACTGTAGTAAATAAACTTTTAAAAAAAATGTTGAAAAATAATAGTAAATATTAGTTTTTGAGTTTCATAAAAATAACTAATTTTAGAAAAAATGTTTACAAATTTAAGTTAAATATTTATTTTGCAAACAATTTAAAAATAAATACAGTTGAAATGAGAGATTACAAATTTTTCGGAAGAGTCGAATCTAAATGGTAAATCATGATTTTCATTCACAATGGAGAATATTGTATTAACTGGGGTAACACGGCTTGATGAAAACTTAATTTAAGAAATTTTAACTTATATCATAAAACGACTTTTGTTTTAAATTTAAAACATTTAATTTTATTTTGAAAGTAACTTTTAAATTCTAAATAGACCAGACAATACACTATAAATAGAAGACAATAAAAAAGGAACTACTTTTAATTTTATTTTATAATAATGTCGTTAGACTTCATCTTACATTAATCTAATTCAGTTAAGAATCGAACTCTTGTGCCTGAACAATTCGACCCATCTTAATAAATTTGTAATTTTTATCAATAAGTTTATATATAATTTTCAAACAAAGCTAAAAACTTAATTCCCGAGTTACATTCCTAGTTTCCTACTCATGGATAAAAGGTAGAGAGCTATACAATTATTACTCCCTTTTTGAATATTCTTGCGAAGTATGCCTCATTTAATAGAATTAACGAAAAGAGATATGCCTTTCATACTTTTTTTTTGTTGTTGTTAATTTTGATGTAACATTTTTTTATCTATTGGAATTGAATTGGATATCAGAAAAATTTACAATAATTTATGCAGTCTGCTTAATCAAGAGATCTAAGTCTTCTTGATACACTATTAGTATGAAGATTTTTATATCGTATTAATAAGAAGTCATTTTAAATATAGCTTTTAAAGTAATTTACTACAATAATCAATAATTTGTAATTATATAATGATTCAACAACTTAAGAGATTTTTACGCCTCCAGTAACGTATTCTAATAACATAATTTTAGTACATTACTTTTACCTTTTTTGTTTATTTAAAATTAATTTCAAATTAGCACACTATAATTTTTATTTATTAAAAACTACTATTTTTAATCAATTGATAGAATAATAAATTGTAATTCTAATTTTTACACTATAGTACGTGCCTATTAAACTGCAAATAAAAACCTTCTGACTAATAAACTAATTTTAAATTTTTTTATTATAAAAATTTAAATTAAGACAAGACACAATTTTATACAAACTTAGATTTCATCACTTTAAATTCACATAATAATTATTTATGGGGTCGAAACACTTCGTGTCTCTATATTATTTAATAAAATTATTAAAAAATTGTTAATGTTTATTAGATTAATATATGTTGCATTTAATCTTTAATATAATAATCTTCAATTCAAGTTTTATTTTTATAAGAATAATTAATTTTTAATATTATTTTTTATTATTTAAAAATTTAAGTATAAAATTTTCTTAAAAAAATGTGTACAAGACAATCTCTTTATTATACGTTCAAATATCATAGATATATTTAATAATTTGAATTTAACTAAGTTCTTACCTGTCGTCGCGACATCACTTTTACGGTGGTGTTAAGATCTTGATGGATGAGCAAATCTTGTTTATGACTTGGATCCGACGACATCTGAATTCCCCGATACGATTCTGCATATATGAGTCCTTGGGAGAAAATCTTGAAATTGGGGCATTTCCTTACATGCACTGTTGTTAAAGACGACAATTGTAGAGTGTGACTGCCCGAGTAAAAACATATGAGACTAGGTAAAGAATATAGAACAATGGTGTTTAGTCGCTCAAATTGAATGGCTTCTGAAGTTGCATCGCTCTCTTTAGCCACTATTTCTTTCACGGATTCACAATTCTCCACCGTGATTTCCTCAAGGTTCATCAACTTTTTGGCTGCTGAAGAAGTAACTAAATACTTCAATTGGGGACAATTGGATATAGACACCTTTTTCAGACAAGAAAAAGACACTGTAGAGGTAGAGTGTACTAATGTTGCCAAATGAGGACATTGGGTAACATTTAATTCTGGGAGGTTCTCAAAACTTGTGTTTAACCATGACATGATGAATTGGAGGTCAGATACTTGACGTAGTGTCAGGATTTTTAACTGTCCAAGCATCACCTCACCAATTTTGGGGTTTGCAGCAAGGAATATATCAGGACGGTTACAATTGTTTATACTCATTTTCGTTAAATTGGGTACCTTCTTGAGTATTTCAACGGGAAACACAGGTTCCTCATTCTCATCAGTGCCAGGATACAGGGAAATTTCATTTAATTTGCTGAGCTCTTCTGTTAATTCCCTTGACCTAAACTTTAAGCTTAAGGTCGAAATGTGTTTCCAATCAAGAGTCAATTGCTCTAGGTTGTAAATGACCTAACATTTAAAAGGAAAAACAAATTGAATAAATAAAGGACAGTGATTTAGAAGATGAAAAGAGAAACAACAGTTGAAATTAAGTGCAGATTCAACAATTCTTACCTCTACAAAGAAGATAATAGGTAGTCCATTAGTTGAAGTACCCTCACTTTGAAATAATTCCAACTTGTGACAATTCAACACAGATAAATTAGTTAAGACGGGGCATTTCAGAGTGAGTGTTTGAGAATTAAAGTAAGTAAGCTGTGGCAAGTCACGGAGATCCAACTCCTTTAAACTAGGGAACACAAACCTTTCCCTTACGTTTCTTGTTCTGACTTCTTCCTTTTCAACAATAGCTTGCAATTTACGACAAGATTCTATTTCAAGTTTCTCAAGTTTCTCAAAATATTTTGCCAAGGAAGCAGGAAATAAGGTTTGCAGGTTTTCACAACCACTAACAACAATCTCTTGCAGATCTTTAAAGATGAGAACTCCTTCACTATTCTTTTCCCACACACGCATTAGTTTTGATAGCCTTTTTAAACTAAATTTCTTTATGCGGGATGTTGTTTCCTCAATCTCAGTGTGATTCATATAAAAGATTACCTCTACTTCGTTGCTATCACAGACTTCCAATTCTTCCAAGTTCTTTAAATGGGCAAGAATGTCAATCGGAATGCTGTTGCGTAGCTTCAAAGTTACCAAATCACAAAACCATTTGTTTTGCATCAGCCAATCCGTTTTCCCATACAATAATAATTCCATCCATAAATCCAGTTGACCATCATTATCTCTCGGTGGTTTGTGCAACAAGCCTTTAAAAAGCTCCTGTAAATATTACAATTAATATCAGACATCATATCTATTGTTGTGAGTTGTGACTGTCTATAACCAACATATAAATTTAAAGGAAAACTAGAGTGATTCTGGGTTTGTCATTCATTTTATAAAAACTGGGATCTATTGCATGGTTTCAAGAAAGTATTATTAAAAATAATTCACTTCAAAATAAGTTTTAAGTTTAAAATATTATAAAATATCAAACAACTTTCATTTTAAACTTAAACCTTTTATTTTCAATTTTAATTTAAAATATGAAAATACTAGACTAAACTCTATCTTTATAATATATTGTTAAAAAAATAGTATTAAAATATCTTAATAAATTTGTCAACCCAGCTGAAATGGGTGATATGAAATTTATCTGACTTTTAACTTATTTTTGTTGCTTCTTTTTCGTAACCACGTTATTAGAAAGAAATATTTATTGATTTTATTGATAACTAATCTCTATCAAAGAATTTGATTAGTCATGTTTAATGAAATCTCTCCACATAAAATTTATTTGTGTAAACTTTTCTAAAAACATTATTATGACAGAAAGAAAAAAAAAAAGAGTTTTTCAATTAACTAAAATTACCCTATATATTTTCTCTTCTATTAGCTTCTTCAAAATTTTATTTTTAATTTTTGTAAAAGTTAAACTAATTAATGAAGAAGTTTTTTTTTTCTTCTAATTTTTTTTCTCTCCTTGAATTACTTATCAAGAAATTTATCCAAATACACCTTTAAATATATTTATATAACTTTTTTTTTTAACTCTGTTAATTTTGATATTTTACTCTGGCTTCAAGCTTACAAATATATTTTTCCTATTCATTTTTCTTTTCTTTTCTTTTCTTTTTTGTTAATTATTTTTCTTAACAGACAATGTGTGCATATAAGATTTATTTTGTACAAATACCTAAAAAAAAATTTAAAATTTGCAGAACCTAATGGCCATGGTAAGTTGATGGATATTTCTACAGGGAAATAATTGCCTTGTTATTTTTTTGGCATTATGTTTGTGGTTTCGGCCTTTTAAGCATGATGAGATTATTTACTTTAAACCATTATGTGCATCCATTAAAAGAACTGTGCAAGAATTAAGTCTTATTGTACAATATTTAAGTTTATCATTAATTATTTTGCATCTTGAAATGATGAAAGATACTATTTTTTTAATGACAATTTGTATATTTTGTTTTGTAAAGGATAGGTGATGATTTTATAAGACTCCGCTTGGGTGGGCCAGGGTGGCTCCAGGTGAACTCACGTAATGCAGGTTCCTTCAATAGAATAATATTCAGGAAGCCCTTGAGCTTGACATACATTGTGAGTAGGTGCCAAGAATCTGCTACTTAGAGCATATGGAATGTTCGTAAAGATATCATACCCAAAACATACATAATTATTTGATACGCTAAGCCTCGAATAACTAAGGGTTGGGCCATGATATGTTTACCCTAAACACACATAATTATTAGTTTTTAAATTTTAATACACTGTATCAATTTTTTTTTTATTTTAAAAAAACTACCTGAATCTGAACATAAACAACAAAATAATTCATGTCGACAAATATCATTTAATTGCAGTAATCACATTTAAAAAATAGCCTAATTTCCTAAACTACCATTTCTTGCAACTTAATATTAAAAATTAAAAATATAATTTCAATTAAATAAAGGGAGGGTAAATTTAATTGAAATTTAATTATCATTGACAAACAATTATGAATATTTTTTGTTTATATTCAAAATATGAAAGAGTCCTGAGATGGTGAGTCTTATTTTAAATAATTTAAAGTAGTTTTCCATTGTCTAATCATATAAAATATTATTTACAATAAATTTATTAACTTTTATAATAAATAATTAAATAATCATACCAATAATGATTTTTAGTTGACTGATAATGTAAGTGCATACACATTAAACTTATCCTACCTCTATTCCTTTTTAATAAAGGTGTAAGACATATTTGGTTTAAAGGAAGAGAGAGGAAAAAATGGGAAGAGTTAAAAATTTTGTTTGATTGAAAAGAAAAAGGAAATAACTTTTTTTTTTTGTTTGATTCACAAATAGAGATGAGAGATTTTAAAAATTAATTTACATTTGTATTTTTATAATTTTAAAATTAAAAATATAAGTAAAGATATTTTGGATATTATATTAAAAATATTTTAAAATCTTTTATCTTTCCTTTAAATTTCTCAATATTAGAGAGGAGTTAAATTTAGGTGAGGAGAGGTTTTGTTCTTTTCCCCTCTTAAAAAATAAACAAAACAATAAAAGTTTATAAAGATCTCTCTTCCATTCCATTCTCCTCCAATCAAACACTATGTGAAGGTTGTTAAACGTAAATTAAGAAATGTAATATTTTTTTTCCATAAAATGATTTTGATGTTTCTCATAATACCATCTTTCATTTTTGCTCAGTTGTTAATGCATGAACTAGTTAAAATTAGGTAAGATGTAATGGTATAATTGATAAAAATAATAATTAATATTATTTTAAACTTTAAAAATGACAAGTAAATAAACAAAATTTTACTTAAAAGATAAACAATTAACAAAGGGACTGAAGGAATAATTCATTTCTACAATTTCTTTTTTACTTTTAAATGCTTATTATTAATCTATGTTATCTAATAAAATAAAATATGTTATTAATAAAAATTAAAAATACATTTTCGTTGTACTTTACTCTTCTTATAAATTACACGATTCCATTTTTTTTAATAATAATTAATAATATTTTTTATATTTTTGATAAGTGCCTAACTAATATGATTAAATATGCATTTGAGACACTTATCTAGCATAGTTTTTATATATATTGATATAAATTTTGGTTTATATACTTCAAATCAAAGAGGGACTTTTGATTTATGTTAGTACAACGATTGATGAAGCTTTTGATCCAAATTCATGTTTATTTTGTAGGTTTTGAAATTTGAGGGAAAATGGCTCAGCCACTCAAAAGCGCTGAGTGGATTCAAGTCAGAGAGCTCAACAAATGCAGCCAAGAGAGGCGCTCAGCCACTCTAATCCGCTCAGCGGATTTGGCCCTGGAAGAGAAGGAGTGCTCTTTGCCTCCAAGGCACTCAACCACTGCAATCCGCTGAGCGGATTTGGTCCAGGAAAGGATGCTTTATGCATGCAAGGCGCTCAGTGGATCTGAGGCGCCCAGCCCTTTTGAATGCTTAGCAGTGAAGGACTTCCAAGGCGCTCAGCGGATCCAAGGGGCTCAGCCTTTTGGGTTCCTTCATGGTGAAGGTTTCTTCAACCCGCTCAGCCGTTCCAAGGCACTGAGCGGATTTGTCTCTCTCCTGTTCACTCTGTTTTAATTTTATCACATATATAAGGGCAGAAGGGAGAGAAAGAGGGATCATCTTGAGCTGTACAAAGAGAAAACAGAGCAGGGAAGAAACAGAACACTTTTGGAGCTCGTGGGGACGCGATTCTTCGAAAGATTTCTTTCTTCTTCAACCTTTCATCTTGTTATTGGGTGATTTCTTGTATTATGGAGAGCTAATTTCTAGGGTTGGGATTGATGTAATCGTCAAACTCCTTTGTATTCCTCTTTGAGAGCTAGGAATGGTCTTGAAATGAATGGTTGTATCAAGTTCTGACTCTTAATGCGGGATATTTAACTGAATGAAGTGAGGGATCATTCATTGAGTTAAATATCCTAGAGTTTCTTATACCAAGAGATTGGGTAGGAATGAAAGTAGAGAGCTCAATGGCAATGAGTAATGGAATCTGAAGAAAGAATCAATAGGAATGCATAGGAGGGAGATTGATGAAGTCTAATCCCAACTGTTTCTTATATCTGTTTCTCCGCAAGTTAAATTATCTTTGTCTACTTGAATTTACTCAATCATCCATTTCAACTGTGAACATGTATAATTACCCAAGTTTTACATTTGTAAGTATCAATTAGTATAATAGGAATCATAGCTTATTTCACAAGTCCCTGAGATTCGACAACCTTTAAATTATACTACAGAGACTTGGGTGCGCATGCCCAGAAAACCAACAATTTTAATTTCTTTTTGATTCTTGAATATAGTTCATACAATATCCTAAAACTGAATTAATAATTTTTTATATTTTAATTTGAATTAATAATTTTAATTTCTCTTATATTTAAATATATTCTTTTTACAGATAGAAAATTTCTAATTAAAATCAATGGTTAAAAACATTAACTTCATGTAAAATATACAATTGGAGTAATAATCAATTGATTAAAGTTCTTACCCGTCCGCGGAACATCCCCTTCACAGTGGTGTTAAGATCTTGGTTGAAGAGCAAATCTTTGTTTGGATCCAACGATGCCTGAATACCCATAAAGTACTCCGCATGTATGTCGCCTCGGGAGAAGATTGTCATGTGGGGACATTTCCATATGAGAACTCTCATCAGAGATGATAATTCTAGAGTGTCACTGCCCGAATAAAAATATAACAACTTTGGTAAAGAATCTAGAATTATGGTTGTCAATCGCTCAAATTTTATGGCTTCTGATGTAGTTCCCAATACCTTTTCATCCAATATTATTTGTTCCATTGATTTACATTTCACTACGTACATCTCTTGAAGGAACACCAACTGTCTTGCTGTTGTGGATGTAAATAAATACCTCAGTTTATGGCAATCTTTTATAGACAAATGTTTTAGATTGGAGAATGACACTGCTGAATGTCCTAATGTTGTCAAATCAGGGCACGAGGAAATGCACAATTTTTGTAATTCTTTACAGACACGGGACACGGTTCTCAAGTTTCTACTCCATCTCATTTCATGTTGTTCATGTTGTGAGAGGAATAACTCCACAAGACCTCTGCATCGGCTTATCTCAAGATATTCTAAATTGGATGCCTTCTCAAATATCTCAACGGGAAAATTCCATACCCCACGGGCATCATCAAAACCAAGCCCAAACCAATGGGCATCCTCAAAATCAAGCCCAAACCAATGGGCATCCTCAAAATCAAGCCCAAACTCACCGGCAGCATTAAAATCAAGCTCAAGTTCCACTAGTTCATGTAATGGAAAATTTCCGTTGCATAGCATCATCTTAGTGTTTTTCCAATCGAGCTTCAATGACTCCAGAATGAAAATAGCCTAGTGAGGGCAGAACAAATACCCAAGAAAAGGGTGAAAATTAGAAAACGGATATGAAAGACAAAGGAGAAAAAAGTAATAATAGTAATAAAAAAAAAAGAATCAGTTTCCATTAAAACCTTTTCTTCGGAGAAAAGAGGTTGTCTGTTTACTGAAGTAGAACTTTGTGCCTCTTGCAAGCTTTGAAATGTCTTCAAGTTATGACAAAACAACACCACTAAATGATTTAACTCGGGGCATTCTAGAGTATATCTTCCAGGATAAAAGCCAGTAAGTCGTGGCAGCTCACACAGATCCAGCGAGGTTAAACACGGAAATGAAAATTCTATTGTTTCTTCAATTCTTGCATGCTCCTCACTAACAATTGTTTCAAGGTTCTTACACTTGATTATTTCAAGTTTCTTGAGCTTCTCAACTTTTTTAGCCATCTCTAAAGGAAACACACTTTTCAACTCTCCACAATTAGTAACACGCACTTCCTGCAGATTTTGGAAGCTGAGAACTCCTTCGCAATCCCAATCCCAATCCCAATCCCATATGACTCTCAAATCATTCAGACCACACAAAGTCAATTTTTTCAACGGAAAGCTATATCCCCTCATCTCAGTCTCCGTTATACTATCAAATATTACCTCTACCTTTACGTTGATTCCACTTACTTCTAATTCTTCCAAGTTCTTTAAACTTGTAAAAACAAAAGATGGAATAGCATATGATCCCACTTCACAATTTGTCAGCTTCAAAGTCTTCAATCGAGAGCTCTCGAGTGGTTCGTAAGGATGGGAAGCTGCCATGTCGTGTGGATCAATAGCCTGTAAATATTATAAATAATTTCATAATCATAAATATCCCAAATGCATGTTAATACTTCATTAAAGAGCTTTCATATTTTGTATATCTAGAATCAAAATAATAAAAATATTTAATATACCACATTTTAAATTAAGAAATTATGATTTAATGAAAGGAAATATATTCTTCTCAATGTCTACCAAAATAATCAAACTTGAAAATTTAAATAAACTTGTGAGACTCACATAAATTCCAATATATTAAAAGAGAATTCAGGTGAGTGAAAGATTTTATGAAAAGTAACTTACTATACTGTAATTTCTAATTCAATTAGACAATAACTTTTAATAAAAAAATATTTACTAATTATTTAATTAATAAACATTGTTAATGGGATCTCAAAAAATATACTTCAAAGGAAATAAACTGTTAGTCATAATTCATCAATAATAAATAGATACTAACCCAAATGTTGTACACGTGTTTTATCGTAGCATTTAAATCACCTTTCCAATAACATATGTTTTCCCCCTTTCCATGTCTAACACATATTTGTCGTAAAATTGGTGTCTTGTTGTCTTGTTCAAAGAAGGTAAAGCTTTTCATATTGCCACATGAACCCACTACAAATTTTTCCAATGATGGAAAATCAAAGGCATGCGTAGAACTACCGAAAGTTTCTAGTTTATGCAGAGCTATGAGTTCTATTTCCTTCAATTGTTTGAAAATAATCCGTAGCTCTGTTTCCTTTAATTTTTCGGAATCATTTTCTTGCTCTGACACAATAGTATTCATCAATTCACATTGGATTACCTTCAAGGTGGTGAGTTGAACCAAGCTTCTTGCAGTTGATGGCGTAATTAAATAGCTTAATTTATTACAATGACTCACTTCCAAATTTTTCAAGTAAGTGAAGGATACTGAGGAGGGTGCTATGATGTTCAGACATGGACATTCTTTTAAAATCAAGCACTCTAACCTTTGAAAAAGTATTTTGTCTTCTTCGAAGCCTATCATCTTTAGTGAAGGCAAGTTTATTAACGTCAAGCTTTTGAGCCTTGGAACAACCCCCGATTTTTCTTCAATAATTCTTCTTGGAGGCGCTAACTGCTCAAACAAACAATTGTTCAACAATAAGCTTTTCAGATTAGGATTTCTGTTGAGGAAAAAATATAGAATCTCGTTATCCAATAATCGAGATAATTGAAACTCTTCTAATTTGTGCATTCGGTAGTTCCCGATATATGTCATTAACAAATTTGCATCGCGTGGTTCTACTTGCATGGACTTCAAGTTGTAGATTACCTAAGAAACGATGGATGAAATAAAGGTAAGTTAATGTAAAAGATAAATGTATGAATACATCTTCCATGTAATTGGGTATTTTGCTGTTATGATTCTCGTTCTATCTCTGGATTAGAAAGTATGGGAGTTAAAAGGCTGATTACCTCTTCAGTCAAGAAGACCGGCTTTATTTCTGAATTTTCAATTTCTGTTTTGAAAAGCTTGAGCTTGTGACAAAGTTCCACATATAAGTTATTGAGTGTTGAACAATGCAATTCATGTGCTCCCCCATAGAAACTCTCAAGGTTTGGTAGTTCTGAAAATCTGGTGGTGGTTAATTCAGGAAACTCAAAGGAAATGGTACCCTCATTGACTGTTTCCTCCATGGAAACAATTTCCTTCAATTGACCACAATTCCAAACCTCAAGGTATTCAAGTTTTTTAAGATCCATGGCTACAGAGACTGGAAATATATTTTTTAAGTTGAGACATTCTTGAACCCGTATCGTTTTCAAATTTTTTATGTGAAGAATCCCTTCAGGGTCTTTGTTCCATACATGCTCCAATTTTGGCAGTGCATGTACATGAACATTTTGCAAGTTGGCCATATTAGCATCACATTTTTCACAACATTTGAGGTCAAATATCTCTTTCATTGACTTGCAATTAGTAACCTTCAAGTTGCATAGACTCTTGAATCTTCCGACCATATATGAAGGAAAAACATTTTCAAGTTTATTACACCCCTCAATGATCAACGCATCCAATTTGTCAAAGGAATGTAAAGGAAATTTGCGATGCCATATCTCTTTCAATTTCTTCATGCCTTTCAAGTTGATAATCTTCAACTTAGGGAAGAGGCTTTCCTGCTTTATTCACCATTGCAATAATTAAAATAACAACTATATTAGAGAAAATCAAAACAAAATCAATAAGGGGAAAAAAAGTAGCATGCTTTATACAAGCATATATATTTAATTTGTTATATGGCTAGGTAATGGTTATATTTGTTAATTGCCGGCACCAATAAATACAATCAATTCTTTTTCTCGAATTACAAATCAAATAAAACCAGTAATTATAATGATCAAGATCATAAAGTTACTTGTTGCAAAATGATGATGATGATAATTATTAATGTTATTATTATTATAGTTAGCAAAATGTTGGGGAAGGGATCAGGGAGCTTGCCCAGACAATAAAACAAAACTAACCGAGAAATTATAATGGTTGTAGGAATTTAGAGATGCATATAATGTCAAAGGAATTTGGTATAATAATATTGGTAACACCTATGATGGTGGTATTTGGAAGTCTACGTACTGTCATGGAATTTGAACATAAAAATGTAGCCTTGTATATCACATGTAGGAATTTAGAGATGCATAAGGTTTTCATCATTGATCATAACAAACAGATTTTAAATTATTTAATATCTAAGATAACGTGGGTTACACTAAAAATAAAAGTGTATACTAACGATATCAAATAATATGATGTAATCCCACCCACATACCTCAATTTGGATCATACTATCTTCCGTTTCGATAAAAATGCTCTCCATTATCCCACATTCACTTACAAAAAGCTTTTGAAGATTCACCAGGTTTTTGGACATCGAAAGGGACAGTAGGTATCGCATATTCCAACATTCGTTCACATCCAAGTGCATCAAATTTTGAAAGTAAGGTCTCGTTGAAGGTTGGTCACTCCATATTTTTTGGATTTTGATCGATGACAGTTGCATTTTCTCTAGTTTAGAAACTACAATCTGCCATGACAAACATATATTACTAGTGTCTCCAAAATTAAAGAATCTTTTTATCAATTTAAAGTACGATACAAGGAAAAGAAAAAGGAAGCATTCGATAGAGAAGAATAAATAGAAAATCAAAAATTGTTTTTATGTAACTTACAAACTCTTCCTTCTTGATTTTAACATAGTATCAGATATGCTAAAGTTCAAAACCCAAAATACAAATCAAATTAATATGACAATTTTGAGCATACCTTTTTATCAAAGAGTTCATTAGGCTTCCTGTTTTGCACTTGCTCTCCTATTGATGCGCCATCCATGATGTAGAATCCAATAAATTCAGACAAAGATTGTAGGGCCAAAGAGCGCAATTCAGGGAACTTAATTTCATCTCTATTGCTATCCCCTTCCAAGGTAACAATCTCCTTCAAAGAGTTACACTTAGAAACTTCAATTGTTTCAAGTGCAGAAAAATGTTTAATCATAGAGGAGAAGAAGACATTCTTTAATTGACCACAGATCTCGAGCTTGATGATTTTCAACTTGCAGAATGAATCATTTGTAAGTTGACCGCGACATATATGTTCCATCTGTACTTCATAGAGAAACAATGACTCTAATTTTGGATACGCTTTCTCTGGATGTTTTTTGTTCTTTGAATTGATGATGGACTTAACTTTCGAGTTACTTACAATGGACAAATATTTTAGATATGGAAATCCTTCATAATTCAATTCATAGAAAATATCTTCAACATCCTTTAGTTGTCCCAACAACAAATTTTCAACTCTTCCAAATAGTATTTTGATCTCCTTCTGTTGATGAATGTGAAAGCCATTTTCGAGCTGAAGTGCCAAATATCTTGATGCTTCAGACATCTCTAGCATCTTGAAATCCCACACCGAATATGCATTCAAATATTCTCTGATGATGATCTTGTATCTATCCAATTTGTCAAAGAACAAGTTGTTAGGCAAAACGGTAATTTTTTGGATCTGTATGACCAGTGTTGTTAACTGATCCAGTTGCCTCAACTCAGAAAGACTTGCCTTTCCACTTTGATTTCCTTCTCCTTCATCTTTCCATTGAATTGGGCTATTTCCAGCATACAACTCTTCCAAACTAGTCAAACTTGAAAACATTTCAGCAGGAATCTCTTCAAGTTTAAAGCAATTACTGATGTCAAAAATTTGTAGCTTAGTTAACTGCCTCAATTGAATAGGCAAATAATTAACATCAGATCCTGATAAACTAAGAACTCTTAATGTCTCCAAGTCTCCAATGATAGATAAATCCCCACCTAGCTTGCATCCCTCTAAACAAAGCATTCTGAGATTCTGTAAGCATTTAATTGATGAAGGTAAGGATGATTGACGAACGCCAATCAATATCAACACTCGAAGTTCTTTCATTCCATTAAAAAAATTGTGTGGTATTTCCAAATGTGGATCTTTATTGTCAAAATGGAAGACTTTAAGTCTAGAACAATTTATGCTTCTAGGAAACTTCTTCATGATGTGAGTTATATCACAATGTTGTAAGGAAATAACCGTGTACCTTCTAAGCTTGTCCTTGTCGGGCCATTCATCTAGCTTTTGCTTTGTGAGAGCAAATGAATGCATCTGCTGGGACGCTATGGACAAAGCCGCAGCACGGGTAATATCTTGCATGGTGAAACGATCACTTGAAAAACTATCAGCCAACAAACTTAACTCTTTCAACTTTCCAATCAACACATGTACTCTATCTCTAGCTTCCCTTACGGTGTGAATTCCTTGAAGGAAACCCAACCCAATGCAATATCTGACCAAGTCTGTAATTAATGCATCATGACCCATACTAGCACAAACTAAGAAAGTGTGCTTAAGCTCCTCATTTTCTATAAGCTCATAACTCAGCTTTGTGGAAAACTCTGGCATTGTTGCTGTTAAGTTTTGCCTTTCAAGCTGTCGATACATATCCTCCCATACTGAAAGGCTTTTAGTTTTTAATGCATTGGCAGTTGTTACAATTGTCATGGGCAACCCTTTACACTTCTTGGCAATTTTAGCTGCTAATTTCTTGAACGTAAACTGTTCATCGCCTAATTCAGCCATGGTCATAAACATCATCTCTGCTTCTTCTTCAGTTAATGCTCCTACACGAAAAGTTTGAATGTCTTTCCCATTCATTTGACTCAACAAAAGTTGTTCACTGTCAGAAATCATCAAAATTTTGCATCCTTTGTATCTAGCAAGAGGTTCTTCTACATTCATCAAACTGGAAGTATCAAATCCTTCTGTTTTAATTAAATAATTGGGGTGGGTCGAAGGGTTTTTCTTTTTGTGATTCATCTGATTGTTATCATTATTTTCTAATGGAATTCCCACCATATTGAAGTCCAGTTTCACTCGCATATCATCTAGGATTATAAGGGTTTTCTCCTTCCAATTCTTCAATCTCTCCCGTATGTGAGCTGCTCTTCCACTCTCAGATTCCTCTTCCAATTTCATGCCGAACCTGTCAGCAATTTGCCCTTGAATACTTCGTATATCGGGATGACTTGTTATGTTCACCATAATCACCACATCAAACATGTTTCCTTTTACTTGCTTGGCAACTTCTTTGATTAAACTAGTCTTTCCCACACCACTCCACCCATAAACTCCAATCACTCCAACATTCGAGTCTGCCAAAGCCTTCATAATATCATCCGTAGTTTGGTTTCTCGATGCAAAACTTTCATACCTAATGTTATCAAAATCAGCATCGAAGGAAGGTGGGCCCAGCCAATGAGAAAAATCATCATGCTTTGCATTCTGCAATAGTACATTAACCCTCTTGCTGATATCATTTACTGTTCTGCTTAGACGATACCTTATTCCCGGTTTAGGAAGGTAATTAATGGAACACATGGCATATGGATGGTCTTCATCTTGGTAGAAATTCTCATACTCAGAAATGATCCCATCTACCTCTTTTAACCATTTAATGACATCATCATCAATAGCTCTCCCATGTTTCTTTTCTTCCTCTCTAACTTTATTTTGAACAACTTTTCTCTCTTTTCGCAGCTTATTAACATCTTTGGCTAGTTCTCCAACTCTGCTTTCGTAGGACCGAAGTTCTTTCAGTAGCGGCTTCAGATAAGGCCACACCTGAAGAAGCAATTTAAGATACTCCATGCTTTCATTATTGACTTTTCTCCTTGCCTGTAAGTAAATACCAATTCATTTTTAATTTAAATATTCATTTCAAACAAAAATAAATGGATGAAGTAAAAAATTTAAATAATAAAATTTAAATTAAATAATACAACAGAACAAAAGTGAGGGATACACGGATTGAAATCACCTATCTCACTGTGTGTCACTTCCTGTCCCTCCAATAAAATTCTGCCATGTCAATTAAAATAGACATGTACCATTAAAAAAAATATCTAATCTTTTCACCCACGCACCACTTGCTTACATTGTCTCCCACTCTCGAAATCCATCGCATGAAGGAGTGACAGAGATTTGCTTGACACATTATGTGTTTGGCCATGTGATGTCATACAAAGCGGCTGGCATTTATCTTTGGTTTATTTATTTATTTATTTATTTATTATCTTTTCAGTTTTTTTTTTTTTTTATCTCTCCTTTTATATTTATGAGTCTGTTAGGGTTCTTTATCTTTCCTTTTATTTAAAGATTTAAAATTATCAGTTTGATAGAATTCTAGTAATTTTTGAATTTAGCCTTTCTGTTCTTATATATACCGGCACTACTAGAATTTCTCTTATTACATGCGACTTTTCCTGCGAATTTTTCATAAAATTTTGCAGGAAACGTTATTCCTACAAATTTTTCTGCAAAATTTTATCTGCAGGTAATACCTTCGTGGATAATATATTTTTGCGAATTTTAAAATTCGCAGGAAATTTTCCTGCGAAATTTCTTTTCCTGCGAATTTTTTTGCAAGAAATTCTGCAGGAATATTTTTTACGAAAAAAATTAAAAAAATTACTATAAATTCTATCAAGAAGCATTTGTTTCCATGCCTCCAACATGTAATACATAATCTTTTAAATTCTAAGATTGTAAATTATAAGCCTAATACTCAACCATACAAATCAACTTGTAAGGTAAGTGTTGCCCCTAATTTATATATTCTTTAATTGTTTTATTTTCAATCGATGTGGAACTTAAAGTTTTTTTAAAATATTAAACTTATAAATTTAAATATATTTTTTTTATTTTTCCTGCAAATTAAAATTTGCAAGAAAATCTGCAGGAAAAGTTACCGGCAAAATTTTTCTACCATTTAGTAAACATTACTTGCGAATTTATTTTTGCAAGAAAATCTGCAAGAAACAAAATAAAATTCTTACAATATTTTTTGCAAATTTTTACCATGAAAAAAAATTTCTATGATTATTAAAATTGTAGCAAAATTTGTAAGAAATATCTGTAAATTATCTTAAAAAAAAATTTGCAAAAAATTTATTCGAATATTCTTTTGCAGGAAAATTTGCAAAAAAATTCTGCAAATATTTTTTTCCAGGAAAATTCGCAAAAAAATTTTGCAATTTTTTTTTTACAGGAAAATGACATTTTTCTAGTAGCGCAGTATCAAAGACCTATTGAGGGAGCAGAATGTTAGTAAAATTTTGAAAACCTTTCTCAATTTCCTTGTGTCAAATTCTCAGTATTCTTAGAATCAACGAGTTGTTGATATTTAAAATCATTCCATCACGTATGTCGCATCACCATGGCTTGCGAAATAGAGGGAGAAAACAATATCGAGATTCACAAGTAAAGACGTACTATGGAAGACAGATCAGAAAAAGAAACTTCTCAATCATGCCAATTTTTTCAATTCACATTTGAAGATAATGTCGTTCAAAAATGAATGAGTTTGGAACGGTGTGATTGGAATTTTTGTATGCTAATTCCTTCACAATATTAGCAAGCTTATTTTCATTCTAAAAGCTATAAACCCAGTTTACATTATTATTAATTAATAATTAACCAGCAAGGCTTTGCCTTAATTAACGTTCTAGCAAAGAAGTGGATGGCATGGCATGGACAACAAAAATTTCTTCTACTTGTGATAGTTATGAGGATTTAGGTTTCCAATGAATGTGCACAATAGCAATGAAGAGGGGACTAAGGTTCTGACAAGACATTTTATTAAACATTTTTAATGACAAAATTACCACTATCAATTATAATAATTAGCTTTTAAATTATAATAATCAGTTTTTATTTGCCAGCTTTTGAATATCTGCTTTCCCTTTATTTAGGCTAATTGTTAGAGCTAAATTGGTGGAGTTTGTTCCCCTGATTAATTAGCTTTTAAATTATAATAATCAGTTTTTATTTGCCAGCTTTTGAATATCTGCTTTCCCTTTATTTAGGCTAATTGTTAGAGCTAAATTGGTGGAGTTTGTTCCCCTGATTCTTTCCAATTTACGTTATCAATTTGTATATTTATACTACTGTAATCCAATGACAAAAGTGTATCAAAATCAATTCCAAACATTTTCCTATATTTGTTGTCAGCATGTTGAAGCTTCTTATAGCTAGCTGCACAACCTATAAAAAAAAAAAAAAAAAAAAAACTGATTATTATAATTTAAAAGCTAATTATTATAATTGATAACCACTTCTTATCTTTATAATTCTTTCACCGCACACCCAACTAAAAAATAAAACTTTTGCCATAATCCTTTTTTGCACAACACTGCTTTTTCCCTCTCCTTACACTGTTCATTACTTTCACTACATATAAGGACAAAGATTTTTTTTTCTCTTTTATTGTGCTATTTGCATCATTGGAATTTCTGTGTTTTGCTATTTGCATCATATATATAAATTACTGATCATTTGAATTACTATCATTTTCTAATAGAGAGAATGCTGGACCCATTCAAATCAAATCAACATTGTTACATATATATATATCAACAAGTAATTTAGTGTCTTTTTAGTAAATTTGGTTTGTGAGGTTATTTGATTTGTTGTCTACTTTTATTTTGGTTTTTCAATATAGGCATTTGAATGAAACATTTTCATGTTTTGACCTTCTTTTATTGTTGGAGGATGTATATTAACATTCTAGTAATGTCTGGGACAACACTTATATTGATTAATGAATTTGTAAAAAAAATAATCAAGAAAGATCTTTAAAGCATAATAGTCACATTAGAGATATTGCACGAGGCGATGTAATAGATAGAATTATAAGAAGCATAGTATGTTTCATATCTCTATTAATGTTTTAAGTATACTAATTATGTCTTTTTAAATTAACTATTATTATTAAACAATTAAGTACATGTCTTTTTTTAAATTTGCATGATAAAAAATAATTTACTCTATCCTTATTAAAATTTAAAATTTAAAATTAATGTAAGAGGAACAACTCATACATATCTATGTACACATGCGCACATGTTTAATTATATATAATAAACATGTTTGTGTATTGCACATAGTGATGAAACCATACTTTAAATATATAGAGTGAATCTATTTTATAAAATTAAAGTTAAGTCTAACTTAACCTAAAATCTATTTTACATTAACAAACCAATAAATTTGTGTATTGAAAATGTCAAAAATATACATAATTAGTATTTTAGTCTATCGACAATATTTGTTCATAGGTTGCTTTTGGGTTGAAGTATATATTACTACAAAGTTTTTATTTTATTTCATGGTGTTTTGTTTTATTTTCTATGATATTGAAACTTGATGTTTTATTTTATTTTTGGACATGAGAACAATGTCATTATTGTTATGATGAATGCATTTATTTGAAATTTTACAAGTGAAAATTTTAATATTATTTTTTTATTTGAAAGTTTTTTATATTGTAATAACAATATATTTAAGTTAATTATATTTTTATAAAATATTTCATATTTACGTGTTTAGAAAATAATTATAAAATATTTTATAAAATATAAATATTAATATTTTATAAGAATATTATATCATAATAGTCATAAAATAGCAAATATGAAAAAATGTTCTATTCTGTTCTGTCTAATTTTTTATACTCAATCAAATATTAAACATTAGGGATATATATGTAATTAAATATGGTGTTCTGTTTTGTTCAACAAACACTAAACGCAAAATAGAATACATATTTCCATGTTTTGTTCTATTGTTATCAAATACAATATAAATACATTATTATTCTTTCCATTCCATTCTGTTTTATTCTCTTCTGTCTCGTTTCACTACCAAACACTACCATAGAATTGACACAACACCATCCCCTAAAACCCAACCCCGAACACGTGTGCATCAACGTTTTTGCTTAATTTTTTTATGCCTTTTCTATAGCGTTGTTATCTAAACTAATTGTTGGCCTAATAACATTTGCATTAAACCCACCCCTCATTTTACTTCTTATACACCTTCCCAGTCTTTTAATGAATTTTATTTATATTAACACTCACGCTAACACTCTGGATTTATTTTTAAGAATGACGTTTTTATGTTCTTGAAAGTTAATAATTGCCTTTTCTTTTTCATTTATTATTATATTTCATCCATAACTACATCCAACCGGTGCCATGCTTGTCTATCTTTAGCAATGTTTTAAATTTGGACTAATCCAGAAATTAACAGAAACAGGAGAGTTTCACTTTCAGAACTGGTCAAAACTCGATGGAATCCGCTCCAAACCAGTGTTAGAAAACTGGTACCGATCCTACACATTTTTGTTAATACTTTTTTTTATAAAAACATTTTTTTTAATAAAAGTTAAAATATATATTTAATAAAAAATTTATAAATTAGAATAAATTATTTTTAATACTTTTCTTATAAAACATAATTTAATCATTTATGTTAATTTGTAATTTTAATTTCTTGATTTTTATAATTAATATTATATTAATTTGATATTTTTTTATTCTAGATGTAAACTTGTAATTATTAAAGGATATTGTTATATTTTATTAAAATTTAAAATTAAATATTATATTGTATGTTACACTTTGAAAGGGACATATACATCTATTTATTTCTAATATATAAGGCAAGCTATACACTATTATGTTTACACATCAATATAAAAACCAATCTCACACATTATGTCAACATATTTACTTATATGTCAATTTCTCTACACTTTTCACTACAAAAAAATTATTTTATTTTTTTCTTTATCTTCTTTTTTCAGCTTATCATTTATTCATTCATATTTTTAACATTTGTTTGCATTTTTAACATTCCCGGACTCGATTTGTGGACCTTGAGGTCTTTAGTGAACATGATAACCAAGTGCACCAGAACACATTATGCGTATATAACATTAAAAAATTATCTTTATCTCTCTCAAAGCACGTATACTGTCGGGAAAGGCGACGCTATTTCTTTAGTTTAGTGTTGGCTTTTTCGACACTAATTTAATTTAAATTTAAAATAAATTAGTGTCAGAAAAGCCAACGCTATTCTGACGCTATTCTTAAAGAATAGCGTCGGCTTTTTCGACACTAAACTTAATTTAAATTTAGTGTCGAAAAAGTCAACGTTACATCTTAAAATAGCGTCAGCTTTTCCGACAGTATTTGCGTTAACTATTAGCTGATGCTTATTTTCCGCAGCTATTTCCCCGTTTTCTTGTAGTGTTTATCTTTTATTATATTTTTCCTTTATCCTCTAATATTACATCTCCCCTATACATTCTATTCAATTCAACCCCCCCTCCTCTATTGTTTAATTTTCATCACATTACAATCATCATCAAAAAGTACTATTTTTTTCTCCATCTTTTTTCTCAATTTTAATTACACATAATTTGAAATTTGATAATCTATTTTACATGTCAATTTCTCTCCATCTTTATCTTTTTATTACATCTTTCCTCTATCCTC